CGTGGGGGGTGTGGCGGGGGGCGGGGCCTGCGGGCGAGCTGGGGAGGGAGCTGCACCTGGGGGTGTGGGTGGGGCCGGCCCGGGCTGCAGCTCCTTCCCTGTCCACACAGGCGGCAGGCAGAACCGGAGCAGAGTGATGGCGAGGAGGACTTCTACTACACCGAGGTGGACGTTGGTGTGGACGCACTGACCGACGGGCTGTCCGGCCTGTCGGCCATGTCCCCCACAACCTGCATGCCACCCACTAGTCCCCGTCTGGAACTGCCCGGGTTGCTGGAGGGCCCGGCCCTGCCCTCCACACTAAGCTCTGTGGGTTCCTTTCAGACTTGGCACAGTGACCATGCCTGCCAAGTGTGCGGGCCCACAGGGAGCAGCTGGGGGCTGGTCTTGGGGCCCTCTGGAGGGGATCAAAGCCCTGGCTGTGTCTCCCCCCAGGGCTGCCTGCACCCCAGCCACCTGGAGTCACAGCCCGCCGAGGTCAGGGCCTGCGCTCCAGCCCTGTCCCCTAAGCTTGGTGCCAGCCTGAGGTGCGCGTGTGTAGGGGGGCTGGGGCAGGTGCAGACCAACAGCGCCCCTTGCCCCCATGTCCCCCCCAGGAGGCCCCGTGGGGATGCCAAGAAATGCCGGAAGGTGTATGGCATGGACCACCGGGCCCTGTGGTGCACCGCCTGCCGCTGGAAGAAGGCCTGCCAGCGGTTCCTGGACTGAGCACCCCCCCGGCTGCGCAAGGGGACCCTAGTTGGACCTCCTTCGTGATGGGGGTTGGTGACCCCAGGCCTCCGAGGTGGGGGAGGGGTGCCACCACTCAAAGTGCCTCTGAGGGTACCAGCTTTCTGCAGGACGCCAGCCCACTCCACTGTCCCCTCAGTCTCGGGGGCAGCCACCCTGCCCACCTGTTGCCCCAAGAACTGGAGGGTACTGAGGGGCCAGGATCCCAGGCACTGTGAGGATGTGGGGGGGCCCCTGCCTGCAGCTGACAAGATGGTCTGAGGGCTGGCATTCCACGTTTGCGAAGCTCAGGTCTTATGTCTGGCCTGCACCAGGCGAGAAGAAAAATTAAAGATTTGAGGTTTTCCCAGAGCTGTGCCTGACTCCTGGGGGAAGAAGCTGGCAGCAGTGGAAGGCCCTGAGGCTGGAGGGCCCCCTGTGCACCGCCTGGGGCCAGAGAGGGACTCCTCCCTCTGAAACACACGGAGGCACCTGCTTGGAGCAGCAACCTGCCCATTTATTGAAAGCGATCGCTTTGCCAGAATGTCTCCGCTAATCTTGTCACCAGACGAGAAGCCACAGGCAGGCCTGGAGCCCTCAGAGGAGGTGACGCCTGCCTGCCCTGGGGCTACAGAGACCAGTACTTCACTACCAGTGGGTTACGGACACGCCCAGATAGTAAACACGTCTGGGATACAAACACAGGCTGCGAGGGGTTAATATAAAGCCGATATAATATGGATTATCCCCAGAGAACACAGGTCTCCAACACCGCCCCTTTCTGCCCATTTTGTTGACAGGTGGAAAGCACATTGAAAAAATAAATATTTAAGAAAAGCACGCACAGCACCCTCACTACACGGAGTCCCAAAAGGGCCACAGACACGGGCTAGACAATGACAACACCGGTCAGTATGGCTTTCTCAGTCCCACTGGTCAGCCGAGCTGCACGAGGCCGCCTCGTGATGTCCCAAGTCCCAGTTCTCGCGCTTTCTCCGTTGTCTAAGAAGGAAGGTGTGCAAAGTTGGGAGCGGAGAGCCGTGTCCTGGAGGAGCCCTGTTGCCGCTGTCTCGGCAGTGTTCCTTCCACCGCCCGAGTCACAGCCCAGTGGGGACCCAAAGATCAACGCAGACACCGCCCCACAGACAGCAGCTCCTGTGGTGCTGCTAACGCCAGGTACAAAGACACATACAAAACGTGAGGTGTGGTCTACATGTTCTCCTCTTCATAAAAAAATATTTATTAGTTTGAACATCAATTAAAAAAAAATCAGTTACGTAAAAAAACAAAAAGCAAACCTTACACATCTTCCCTCCACACCGCTCGAGTGGGCCCCTGAAATCCAGCCGTCCGAGCGGCAGGCTGCCAAGGCCAACAGGCCTGCCAGGTGGCGACACGGGGACGCAGGCGGGACACAGACTGGGCCCCCAGCTTTCTGGGCCAGTATGGGTCTTAAGGAAGAAAAGGCCCCTGTGGCACAGACAGGGAATCCCCAAAAAGGTCAGTGAAGGCGTCTACAAAGGAGCAAGTGGTCAGACACAGGACGCCCTGAGAGCAGAGGCCAGGCCCAGGGGCGGGGTCCTGGGACAGTGTGGTGGGAACCCTGACGCAGGAGCTGGCAGCAGAGGTCTGGTTTCCAGGTGCACTTTTAAAGAAAGTCAGTCTAGAAAAGGGGTTTAAAAGGCAGGGAGAGTGCAGAGGTCAGCCGGCAGTGGACCCAGGCCAGGCCAGCCCAGGGGCAGGGGCAGAGGCGGCCCGGCCTGGAGCTAGGAAGGAGCGGTGTGCGCCACACCACTCTGGCACCCACGGCACCCTGGGGCGGGCGGGTAGCAAGGCCGAGCAGCCCGGCTCCCACCCCTGCCCACTGCAGTGCCGGCGTTTCTCAGGTTCCAGCCCTGGGCTCACAGCGGTCCGCTGCGGGCTGTGCAGGAAAACCGGCCTCAGCCCGTCCAGAGCACCTTCTAGTCGGCAGAAACGTGGGTGACTTTATTAGAGAAAGCACCCTGACCACCTGGCCTTGAGGACAGCACCGTGTCCCCACCGCTCACACAGGCCAGCCTGGTCCCCGTAGAGCAGCAGTCGGTCACAGAAGCTGCTGCTCGGGGCGTGCGCCCTGGGGCCACTGGTACCTGTGAGGGCTTTGTGGGTTTCCCTTTTCTGCCTGTAAAGGATACATGTGACACAACGAAAAAATTGGTAAAAAGCCATTTGGTTTCATCTGGGGAAAAAAAAACATGGTCTCTCCAGCTGGCGCTAAAGCTCGGCACCCAAAGGGCCCTTGTGTGGGGGCTTCCACCTCTCGTCCAGAAAGCACACACATGGGTGCTTGTGCCGGAGGGGTGGCTGAGGGACGGAATGTCTCGGTGGTGAAGTGTCAGGGGCCGCCTGGACAGGACATGCTGCGGGGTGGGGCGTGGCCGTGGCCCGAGCTGCCTCCTGCCCCGCCCGCCCCAGCACTGCAGGGGGGCAGTGCCCGGATAGGCCTTTGCCCTCACTCTGGAAAGAGAAGACGCACCACAAACTCTTGGTAAAGTACGGCAAAAGCACCTGACGGCAAGCTACAGGAGACGTGGCCACGCAGTCCTGCCAAGTGGGAGCCGCTCCCCGAGGCCCGGCTGTGGCCGGCGACGCGGCGCCCG